ATGGCTAGGATAGATAGTCCGGAGGCTGTACCTCCACAGGTTGTGGGTAGAAGGTGCCGTTGCCCCTTCGTGTTAAGTCCTAGTAAGTTGTTAAAGATATGAATAAAACGTGTTGCATCCTACTACGACTCCGTCTCCATACACGACTACTACACACGTAATAGACAATAACACAGACACACAGTCGCACGCCATTCATTACCCGTCTATTTGTTTTACCCTGCCTCATTTGCTTTGGGGCACAGCAGCAGCGCGTGCGCTCATTCAGCCCGACAGAGACGTTCCTCCGAATTTATTGGGCATCGCCACGCATCAGCGGCTTTTGTAATGGGCCAGGGGGCCCATTGGAGGTCTCTTTCTTTACGCTTTGGTTCTTTGGGTAAAGTCACGTAGATAGAAAATTAATGGATCACGACGTTTCGATCGCAACTCAAGCGACCGTCTTCAGGTGACGGTCGCTTGTGTCGCGATCGAAACATCCTGATCCATTAATTTTCTACCTACGTGACTTTGCCCAAAGAACCAAATAGTATGGATTCCTGCAGTCACGAAAGCTTCAAATCTAGGTCTCTGTCTTTACAAGAGCGAGACCTGGGATCGAGATGGGGGGAGGGGGAGAACACGATACAACTAAGGACAACAAAAACGTGATTTTCACCGCGTAAAACCAAATAAATAAACCACCTTCCTCCTGTCCTGTCGTCACCACGCACGAATCAAGACGTCATCGTTGACAAGATATTGACCAAACGTCCCTGATAATCGAGCAGGACGCTCCTGAAAATGAGTCTTGAGACTCAAATGAGGCGTTCCTGGGTAAACAAAGGACACGTCTTGCTCTAGCAAAGGCGGCATTGGTGTGTCAAGGTTCGCAAGCAATCGAATTTGTCCCAAGTTAAAACCCGGTCACGGACGGGAAGTCACAGAAACCTCTCGGGTGAGAGCGAAGGTCAGAGGCAGTGCCGGACTAAGCTAGTGCGGGGCCTGAAGCATGATGTTATAAAGGGGCTCTAAATAAAATAAAATACTTAAAGATTAAAACACAAACATTTTTAACTTGGATAGTAAAGTAATTGTATTTTTTAATTTGCTAAACAGCCAGATAATACGACAAATCGCTAACCTTAAACACCCAGTCCTTCATAAAAGTTGAAGGCAGTATAGTACTATAGTAATAGAGCAAGTGCAGAATCACTGAACCGGAATTGATAGCTTGAAAGCATTTAGCGTGGGGGCCTTGAAAGTGCGGGGCCCGTAGCTACTACATATGTACAGTGAGGGAAAAAAGTATTTGATTCCCTGCTGATTTTGTACGTTTGGCCACTGACAAAGAAATGATCAGTCTATAATTTTAATGCTAGGTTTATTTGAACAGTGAGAGACAGAATAACAACAAAAAATCCAGAAAAACGCATTTCAAAAATGTTATAAATTGATTTGCATTTTAATGAGGGAAATAAGTATTTGACCGCCTCTCAATCAGAGAGATTTCTGGCTCCCAGGTGTCTTTTATACAGATAACGAGCTGAGATTAGGAGCACACTCTTAAAGGGAGTGCTCCTAATCTCACCTTGTTACCTGTATAAAAGACACCTGTCCACAGAGGCAATCAATCAATCAGATTCCAAACTCTCCACCATGGCCAAGACCAAAGAGCTCTCCACGGATGTCAGGGACAAGATTGTAGACCTACACAAGGCTGGAATGGGCTTCAAGACCATTGCCAAGCAGCTTGGTGAGAAGGTGACAACAGTTGGTGCGATTATTCGCAAATGAAAGAAACACAAAAGAACTGTCAATCTCCCTCGGCCTGGGGCTCCATGCAAGATCTCATCTCGTGGAGTTGCAATGATCATGAGAACAGTGAGGAATCAGCCCAGAACTACACGGGAGGATCTTGTCAATGATTTCAAGGCAGTTGGGACCATAGTCACCAATAAAACAATTGGTAACACACTACGCCGTGAAGGACTGAAATCCTGCAGCGCCCGCAAAGTCCTCCTGCTCAAGAAAGCACATATACATGCCCGTCTGAAGTTTGCCAATGAACATCTGAATGATTCAGAGGACAACTCGGTGAAAGTGTTGTGGTCAGATGAGACCAAAATGGAGCTCTTTGGCATCAACTCAACTCGCCATGTTAGGAGGAGGAATGCTGCCTATGACCCCAAGAACACCATCCCCACCGTCAAACATGGAGGTAGAAACATTATGCTTTGGTGGTGTTTTTCTGCTAAGGGGACAGGACAACTTCACCGCATCAAAGGGACGATGGACGGGGCCATGTACCGTCAAATCTTGGGTGAGAACTGCCTTCCCTCAGCCAGGGCATTGAAAATGGGTCGTGGATGGGTATTCCAGCATGACAATGACCCAAAACACACGGCCAAGGCAACAAAGAAGTGGCTCAAGAAGAAGTACATTAAGGTCCTGGAGTGGCCTAGCCAGTCTCCAGACCTTAATCCCATAGAAAATCTGTGGAGGGAGGTGAAGGTTCGAGTTTCCAAACGTCAGCCTCGAAACCTTAATGACTTGGAGAAGATCTGCAAAGAGGAGTGGGACAAAATCCCTCCTGAGATGTGTGCAAACCTGGTGGCTAACTACAAGAAACGTCTGACCTCTGTGATTGCCAACAAGGGTTTTGCCACCAAGTACTAAGTCATGTTTTGCAGAGGGGTCAAATACTTATTTCCATCATTAAATGCAAATCAATTTATAACATTTTTGACATGCGTTTTTTTGGATTTTGTTGTTGTTATTCTGTCTCTCACTGTTCAAATAAACCTAGCATTAAAATGATAGACTGATCATTTCTTTGTCGGTGGGCAAACGTACAAAATCAGCAGGGGATCAAATACTTTTTTCCCTCACTGTATGTAGCTGGCACTGGTCAGAGTAAAAAAAAAACAATATCACGAGGAGTCGAAGAAGCCTGCCGAACCACTACACGGGAGTACAGCCCCGTTTGTCAATGCACTGCTGGATGAGGCTCTCCCCACGCCATGCAGGTTCTGGGGGTTATTTGACCATGGAGAAAGGAGGGAGAGGCCCAGGACATCACTAGCCACTGATGTTAGCCGTGGGTGGGAATGGTATTCACGGTGGCCGGGTTCACAGCGCAGGACGCTCATCAATGTGTGACATATTGCTATTATTTCTGATTTTACGATCTGCTGAGTGCATCCTGGGCATGAGGTTGACCTGCATCTGGTGGTGGTCACCCAAAACAACACTGGGAGGGAAAGCAATGGGAAGCCACCTCAGCAAGCCTACCCAGTCGTGGACTCGCCAGAACCACACAATACGGAGTGTGGTGATGCAAGGTGCCCGGGGGGGGGGGGGGGGGGGGGATCAGGTTTATTCCTGCCCGTGATCTAACCATGACATGCCCCATTCTGTATAGTTAGGTGTTCTTCATTGCAAGGTCACTTGGGGTCACTGGCGGTCCCTGGTGGACTTTCGTGCGCTCTCTGAAGTGACGGCCCCCGACAACACACAAACAGTGAAAACACCGCCCCCCATCATCACCATCATCATCGTCCTGCTGCTGCTGTCAAGCCCCCAATGGTTCCACAGGTGTGGCGACCCTCACACTGACGATGTCTTATCGGCCAAAGTGCTCCGCCCCACCCCCCCTCCTCTAAAAATGTGTGAAAACAGTGGTAAAATGTGTATTATTTATTTAACCAATGCGACCATGCTTAGATTGTCTTCATGTCCACTACCCCAGGTCACTCGACCAAATGCGACTCTCTGCTCGCCTCTTGGGGAGTTCTCACCACGTTGAAACAAAATCAACGTCAGCACTTGAACCTACCACCATACCATCATCTCACCCAATCGTTTGCCCACTCACCCACCATCTGAACCGACCCACTCACTCGTTCCCTTCTCGCCCATTAATTCACTCGCCCGTTCACTCTCACGAATGACTCTACCCGGGTCTCTTGAGCAGTCCTCGCTTTGGTTAAACAAAATCAGAGTGGCTTTCACCCACCTGATAAAACATTATTGAGATGTGTTGTTGTCCCAACATCCTTAATAGTATCGTTGATACGTCGCTGTGTGTGCATGCTCTGTGTGTGTGTGTGTGCTCTCGCTCAGTGCCAGCACAGCGTGATACGAGTATACCGAGATGCATCACAAAATATGTCAATTACCTTTGCTTAACCATGCAAGGGACATCTGATTTTCACGATGAAGTTAATGTCCTTTATTTAAGTGGTGAATCCAGAGGTGAGTAAAGCTATGGGCTGTACGTATGTACACAAGCTGTGTGCATACAATGTAGCAGCAGCAGCATCATCATCACCAAATAAATTATCTACCGAAGATTTGTCTTGGTGTGTACAAAGCTGTCCCTGATTACAGGCTGTTTGTGTATACTGGCTAACATTGTGTACTGTATGTGTTTGTGTATACAGGCCGTGATGCTGTACATGTTTGTGTGTGTATATACACGCTGTGATTACGTGCATGTGCGTGTGTATACAGGCTGCAATTGTGTGAACAGGACGTTTGTTGGCCTCTTTCCAGCACTTGGTTCGTGCCGATTCTATCTCTGGCCACCCCTCTCCCAGTGTGGTTCCCAGGACGTGAGATTCACGTCCACGTGAGATTCACGTCCAGTGGACGTGAGATTCACGTCCACGTGAGATTCACGTCCACTCGGCGTCCGCTCCCTACACCACCACTCGCGTAATTCAAATCGTGCCTCGAGACGCAACGTATTTTTTTAACGTGATTTTTTTGGTTCAATGCCTTGAATCCGTGATTTGATTTAGGCGTGGGTGTGATTTGATTTGGGTTTGAATGTGATCGCGATCGGCCAGTCCCTTGTGATCTCCGGGGTTAAAGGCGCTTTGGAAGTGTACATTGTGATGATTATTATAATTATACCTTATTATTATAATTATACAACACTGTATACATGCACTTGTCCCGACAGTCTGTTAAGACTATACGGGGGATCTTTGTAAACAGCAACCACCACCGCTCACCTCTTTCTTGACGCTTCTCAGCAGCCGCTGGCGAGTTTCCTCTTCTAGAGAACACCACACACACACCACAAACACCACACACACCACACACAGCACATACACCACACACACACAGCACACACACACCACACACACACCACGTACACACACACCCACCACATACACCACACACACCACGCATACACCACATACACACACACCACACACATACACCACAAACACCACATACACCACACACACACCACATACACCACGCACACACCACACACACACCACATACACCACACACACCACATACACCACAGACATACACCACACACACACACCACATACACCACACACACCACATACACCACACACATACAACACATACACACCACACACACACCACAGACATACACCACACACACCACATACACCACACACACCACATACACCACACACCACACACCACATCCACACACACACCACACACACACATCACATACACCACACACATCACATACACACACACCCACCACATACACACACACACACACACCACGTACACACACACACCACACATACACCACAAACACCACATACACCACACACCACACACACACCACATACACCACGCACATACCACACACACATACCACATACACCACACACATACACCACACACACACCACACACACACACACCACACACACCACACACACACCACACACCACACATACACCACACACACATACACCACACACCACATACACCACTCACACCACGCGCACACCACATACACCACACAAACCACGCACACACCACACACACCACGCACACCACACACACCACACACATATACCACACACTCACCACACACATACACCACACACCACACACACCACAAACACCACACACACCACATGCACACACCACACACACCACGCACACCACGTGCAGACACCACACACACCACGCACACCACACACACCACACACATACACCACACACACCACACACACCACAAACACCAGCCACACCACATGCACACACCACACACACCACGCACACCACATGCACACCACACACATACACCACACACATACACCGCACACACCACACATACACCACACACATACACCACGCACACCACACACACCACGTACACCACACACCACACACATACACCGCACACACCACACACACACCACATACACCACACACACCACGCACACCACATACACCACACACACACCACATACACCACACGCACACCACATACACACCACGCACACCACGCACACCACACACACCGCACACCACACACACCACGCCACGCACACCACACACACACCACGCCACGCACACCACACATACACCACACACACCACATACACCACACACCACACACACACCACATACACCACGCACATACCACACACACATACCACATACACCACACACATACACCACACACACCACACACACCACACACACCACACACACACACCACACATACACCACACACACATACACCACACACCACATACACCACTCACACCACGCGCACACCACATACACCACACAAACCACGCACACACCACACACACCACGCACACCACACACATATACCACACACCACACACTCACCACACACATACACCACACACCACACACACCACAAACACCACACACACCACATGCACACACCACACACACCACGCACACCACGTGCACACACCACACACACCACGCACACCACACACACCACACACATACACCACACACACCACACACACACCACAAACACCAGGCACACCACATGCACACACCACGCACACCACATGCACACCACACACATACACCACACACATACACCGCACACACCACACATACACCACACACATACACCACGCACACCACACCACGCACACCACACACCACACACATACACCGCACACACCACACACACACCACATACACCACACACCCCACGCACACCACATACACCACACACACACCACATACACCACACGCACACCACATACACACCACGCACACCACACACACCGCACACCACACACACACCACGCCACGCACACCACACACACACACCACGCCACGCACACCACATACACCACACACACCACACCATACCACACACACCACACGCACACCACATACACACCACCATACCACACATACACACCACACAAACACCACACGCACACCACATACACCACACCATACCACATACCGCACACACACCACACGCACACCACACACACCACATACACACCACCATACCACACACACACCACACGCACACCACACACACAACACGCACACCACATACACCACACCATACCACACACCGCACACACACCACACGCACACCACACACACCACATACACACCACCATACCACACGCACACCACACACACACCACACGCACACCACATAGACCACACCATACCACACAAGCACACCACACACACACCACACACACACCCCACACACACCACACACCCCACACACACACCACACACCCCACACACACCACACACACCCCACACACACCACACACACCACACACACCACATACACCACACACACACACCACACACACCCCACACACACCACACACACACCACACACACCACACACCCACCCCACACACACCACACACACCACACACACACCACACACACCACACACACCCCACACACACCACACACCCACCCCACACACACCACACACACACCACACACACCACACACACCACACACCCACCCCACACACACCACACACACCACACACACCACACACACCCCACACACACCACACACACACCACACACACACCACACACCCACCCCACACACACCACACACACCACACACACACACCACACACACCCCACACACACCACACACACCACACACACACACACCACACACACCCCACACACACCACACACACCACACACACCACACACACACCACACACCCACCCCACACACACCACACACACCACACACACACACCACATACACCACACACACACCACACACACCACACACCCACCCCACACACACCACACACACCACACACACACACCACACACCCACCCCACACACCACACACACACACCACACACACCACACACACCACACACACACACCACACACACACCACACACACACACCACACACACACACCACACACACACACCACACACACACCACACACACCACACACACACACCACACACCACACACACACACCACACACACACCACACACACACCACACACACCACACACACACACCATACACCACACACACACACCACACACACACACCACACACACGTTAGCAGCTTGAACACGACATTCTGCGCTCAGGCAGCACGACACGACGGCACACACACACACACACCGCATCACACGTGTGCACACAATACACATCACCTGCGTGTACACACACCGCATCACACGTGTGCACACAATACACATCACCTGTGTGTACACACACCGCATCACACGTGTGCACACAATACACATCACCTGTGTGTACACACACAATACACATCACCTGTGTGCACACAATACACATCACCTGCGTGTACACACACCGCATCACACGTGTGCACACAATACACATCACCTGTGTGTACACACACAATACACATCACCTGTGTGTACACAATACACATCACCTGCGTGTACACACACCGCATCACACGTGTGCACACAATACACATCACCTGTGTGTACACACACAATACACATCACCTGTGTGTACACAATACACATCACTTGCGTGTACACACACCGCATCACACGTGTGCACACAATACACATCACCTGTGTGTACACACACAATACACATCACCTGTGTGTACACAATACACATCACCTGCGTGTACACACACCGCATCACACGTGTGCACACAATACACATCACCTGTGTGTACACACACAATACACATCACCTGTGTGTACACAATACACATCACCTGCGTGTACACACACCGCATCACACGTGTGCACACAATACACATCACCTGTGTGTACACACACGGCATTACACGTGTGCACACAATACACATCACCTGCGTGTACACACACCGCATCACACGTGTGCACACAATACACATCACCTGTGTGTACACACACCGCATCACACGTGTGCACACAATACACATCACCTGCGTGTACACACACCGCATCACACGTGTGCACACAATACACATGACCTGCGTGTACACACACCGCATCACACGTGTGCACACAATACACATCACCTGCGTGTACACACACTACGGCACGTGTACAAACACATCACACGTGTGCACACAATACACATCACCTGTGCGTGTACACACATCACACGTGTACACACAATACGCATCACCTGTGTGTACACACACATCACACGTGTACACACAATATACTACACCTCTGTGTGTACATACATCATACGTGTACACACACATCACACGTGTACACACAATATACTACACCTCTGTGTGTACACACAGTTCTTCTGCACGTGTACACACACACATCACACGTGTACACACAATATACTATACCTCTGTGTGTACACACAATATCCTATACCTCTGTGTGTACACACAATACACATCACCTGTGTGTGCACACACATCACAGGTGTACACACAATACACATCACCTGTGTGTGTACACACAGTCCTTCTGCACGTGTACACGTATCAGTGCGTGAACACGCGCGAACACCGCTGTGGAATCAGTGCATCTGTTGTCGCGGGAACGGAAATCAACAACCCGTGCCGTAGCTGACGGCAGGAGGATGGACGTGATGATGATGATGGTGGTGGTGGACGCGGCGATGAACGTGAAGGTGGACGTGACGAAGTCGCGTGATGTGTGGCGTGATGATGGACGTGAGGTCAGCCACTGGCGCAGCACGATGGTCCACCCTAGTGGGGCGATAGTCCACCCTAGTGGGGCGATGGTCCACCCTAGCGGGGCGATGGTCCACCCTAGCGGCGCGATTGTCCACCTTAGTGGGGCGATGGTGCACCCTAGTGGGGCGATTGTCCACCCTAGCGGGGCGATTGTCCACCCTAGTGGGGCGATGGTCCACACTAGCGGGGCGATAGTCCACCTTAGCAGGGCGATTGTCCACCTTAGCGGCGCTCCCTGTCGCGTCTGCACGTGACGGCTGAGCGGGCTGGGAATGGGGCAGAGATCTCGCGACGATGCCGAATTCTGATGCTGGTGGTGATCGCGTTGAAGCCCATTGATCTCAGTCACCCGTGATGCAGGGCCGGAGGTGGGGGGGGGCTAAGCCTCGATCGTGCTCGGATGGGAGACCGCCACGCTGGACGGGGCTGTCAGAGCCTGGCTGTTCCCGAGCTACGCGTGCGCAGCAGCAGCAGCACCTCATTGTTGTACCGTACCTCTACGACCCTGGCACGTCGAATGCGCCGTCCCGCCTTTCTTAAACCCGCGCGACTGCACAACGTGGCGTGCCTGTGGCCAACTCCACCTTCACGGACCCATCCAGCAGTGGAGTGACAACAAAAATCGTGCTCTCTAACGTGTACACCATTGTGGTGATGGATGTTGATGATGGATGATGATGATGATGGATGATAATGCGGCACACGGGACGAGAGTGAACAAATGGACAGACAGCGGGGAGGCTTCATCTCACCTGAAGCGGACCCCATGGCTCCGGCTCTGATGATCGACACCACCGCCACCGACCTGCTGCTGCTCCTCCTCCTCCTCCTAGCAGCAGCAGCTACCCTCTGACGTCACCTCCCATCCTCGCCCGTCTCCCAGCAACGCGCTCATCACGCCGTGACGTCAGCAGCCTGGGATGGGGGTGGGAGTCAATGGATGGAGATGATGATGGTGGTGGTGCTGATGATGGTGGTGGTGGTGGCGAGGGCACACTGCCCTCTCGCGGTAGCCCGGCCAACAGTTTCACGTGACGTGCTGCTCAAACGAGCGGACCCCTGAAATCCAGCGGAGGAAAATTCCACGTTCGTATGGCGGGGGGCGAGTACATCCACAGGACGTTAAGCAGAACAACCGCCGGTGACATTCCCATAACGTGGTACATGCTTTATCGACCCCGGAGGGATGATGAGCTGAGTCCAACCCCCCCCCCCCAACCGCGATTTGAACCCCTCGGGCACAGATGCTGGGTCTCAAGTTTGTATTTTTTTAAATCCAATAATTGAGGTTAATTCGAGTAGCGAGGGCATTTGGAAAAACAAACACCATTAGGAGGGCACAATCTATATGTTCTGGACAAGTACTACCATTTAAACTTAAGTCCAGGGCGATTATTTACTGTCGCGAAATCTTATGAAATTATAGGATTCATTCTTCAGGAGTTTTTTATTAATTATTTCCCCCCTTTCAAATTAGCCTATGGCCAAATTAGCCTAAAAGCGCCTAAGGGGCCGTCCATAAATGACGTCACGCGATTTTGGACGATTTTTGACCCCCTCTTCGTCACATGGCGTCATAAAAAGTCAGACCCCCCTCAAATATGACGTCATAAAGCTCTGCCCCCCCCAAATAAAACATGCTTCAAATCGCTTTAAACTATTGTCATTGTAGTGCGTATTTGATGTGGCGCTGCACTCTGATGTAGGAGAAAACATTTATTAAAAAGTCTATTTTACTAAGTAGAGCGTGTTGTCTATATTTATTTAAAGTTGCGCATTTTGATGTGACGTCACATTTCACAAACCCCCCCCCCTCGTCACAAATCGTCACAAATGCCTGACCCCCCACCCCCCCCCCCCCCCCCCCCCCCCCCAGGTGCGTGACGTCATTTATGGACGGCCCCTAAGCTCATCAGATCTTGAAAGCTGAGAAGGGTTGAGCCTGGACAGTGCCTGGATGGGCGACCATCAAACACAACGAACATTGATGATTATAATCTGACAAAATAATCTTCGTATGTCTGGCTGTCCGCATGGAACATCAATAAAACCATGATTTTTCCACGCCCCATCGGTTCCACGACCATCTGGGAGTGACTAATGTCAGAGTGTCCCTTGCGATTCAGCACAGGCAACGCTGTGGACCAGTCATCGATGCACAGCGCCTCATCAGCAGGAAGCAATGATGCCCGTGAACTGTCAGACGTTCTAGGCAAGGGCCCTCCCTTTGAGATATGGCTCCTCATTTGACGCAGAGTTATAGACGGCACTACATGCACCGAGACAATTCGTGAGGGTTGTCACGTAAAACAAAACGTGCCAATGAGTTACTTAATTCAGCACAACGCTGTGTTGGAGAGTAAATCCCACAACGTTTACAATTCGAGTACCGATTGTGTATTTACTCTCCAACACGACCGGTTTGCTGAGGTAGTCGCTAATTAGCACGTTTTGCGTACGTGACAAACCTTACTAATGTGTCGGGTGGCGGTGGGTTCACGACGCATGTATATTTACGCGATCTAACCCAACAGACCTTTATTATGAATATAATCATACAATTGGTGGCCACAGCCTACGTGTGAAAACGCACGGGCAGCCTGAAGCGTGGCTGTGCAGCGCCCTGGCCAGCAGAGGGCGACGTGCAGTAACTATCAATTGCCGGGCCGGCTTGGACTGCACGTCTATGGGGCCGTCCATAAATGACGTCACGCGATTTTGGACGATTTTTGACCCCCCCCCCACACACTTCGTCACACGGCGTCACAAAGAGACAGACCTCCCCTCAAATATGACGTCACAAAGCTCTGCCCCCCCCCCTCCCCAAAAATAAAACATGCTTCAAATCGCTTTAAACTATTGTCATTGTAGCGCGTATTTAATGTGGCGCTGCACGCTGATGTTGTAGGATAAAACATTTATTTTAAAAAGTCTATTTAATTAAGTAGAACGTGTTGTTTATATTTATTAAAAGTTGCGCATTTCGATGTGACGTCACATTTCTCACCCCCCCCCCCCCTCTCGTCACACATCGTCACAAATATCTGACCCCCCACCCCCCCTAGGTGCGCGACGTCATTTATGGACGGCCCCTATGCTGCTCGATTCGACGCTCCGGCCACTGACCGGCGTGGTGAAGTATGGCCAAATAACCCCCCCCCCCCCTCCCGACGAACCCGCAGACGCGTGTGAAGCCCCCTCCTCCAGCAGCGGAGATCACGACCTGTCTCGCACGGAGTGGCCCTCCCCACTGTGCCGATCATTCGGCCATTCCTGCACGCAGCTTCCCGAATAAGTGAACGGATTCTTGGGGCAGAGCGGCGGCGCATGTGGCTCGGGCACTTGCTTAATGAAGCCGGCCACCTGAGTTCAATTCCCGGCCACGGCTGACCAGGGCAGCCAACAGAGACAAGCGGAGATGGACGACGCTTCCATGAGTCGTGACATCGCGAGGCGCTGTGCAGCGCCGGATGAAGGTTCTTGTGGGCCCTTAGGCACTTTGTGTGTTTTCGTTATGCCTTGGACACGACATTCTGCACTCGGGCAGCACGGCACGACGGTACACACACACCGCATCACGCCTGCAGGTAATGAGGTACCTGTGTACACAAAATATACATCACCTGTGTGTGCACACACTACGGCACGTGTACACACAATACACATCACCTGTGTGTTACTACAATCATAATCGTCTTGGTTCTTTCGGTAAAGTCACGTAGAATGGAAAAATAAAACATAATAAAATAAAATTCTCACGAAGTTTCGGCCACAACACAAGTAGCCTTCTTCAGGTGAAGGAACAGAACTGTCGGGACGACAGCGCTTCAATGAACACTGCTAAGCTTCGCAGCGTCTTTTAATCATCATCATCATCATATCGGATGACGCGGCTTCAAAAGGATGCCGTTGATTTTCATCGATAACAAAACAAACATCTCGAACAGTTTATCTCCAGTGTTGATTTCACTCTCGACTGATGAAAAACCCACAGTGGACACGACTCTGCCCTTTTGCCTCTACACTCTTGCCTATCTTTGCTATGTAAATAAATGTATGTATCCAAGAAGGTATGTTGGTTACATGTTTATTATGGCACAAACAACAAAAAGCACACGGCGCCTGATGTGCCCCCGGCCCTGTGGGAAAGCGACGAAGCATTCGTCCAGCAGTGGACAGGCCTTGGGCTGCTTGCTGCTTCCTGCTGCTGCTCATGATGATCATGTGGAGCGGTTGCGTTCGTGGTGCCCAGGAGACGTGGAGCGTCGGGCCGACGTTTGTACGACGCTTGACGGTGCTGGCTAGTCGGCTCTGTACTCGGGCTGAACGATTTGGGGAAAATATCGAATTGCGATTTTTCTGACAGATATTGTGATTGCGATTTGATTTGCGATTATTTTTTTAAAGTCAAGCTTCAGTTCAACATTCACTGTGTAATAGATTTATTAGAGCATTCCCTCTATATATTCTAATGCAAGGATGTGAACTTAAAACATATGAATTGCTTCCAAGATGTTTTTAGTAAAATGTGTTTAATTGAAATAGAACAATCAAACATAGAACAATTATTCGTTGGTTCTTTCGGTAAAGTCACGTAGAATTAGAGAATACTAAATTACATAACATACGACGTTTCGATTGCAAAGCAAGCAATCATCATCAGGTACAAATGAAAGAAACACACCTAGTAAACTTAGAAATACAATGCATCACAGCGCAGAAAGTCAGCTGACACAACAGTCAACAACCTACCTGGTTGACCACGTCCAAGAGATAGAAAAGACACAGCACCGGAGACAAATACACAGACACACAAGCAGAAAGAGTTAACACAGACACAGAGAGAGAGACACACACGCATGGGCACACAGAGAAACAAACTCACTGTCTCGAGGCTTTAAATAGTCAGAGGGGTGGGTACAGAGAGAGAGGGGGGGTTAGAATAATTAGCATGTCAATCGGAGATCCCACGATGAGATGGTCCTCCGCCAACGCAGCAACAAATGAGGTGAGACAGGGAAGAAGGCAACACTAAATCAAACTAACTTAGTGAAATTTGGAAATGAAATGTAATGCGACACAGTCGGTCAACACACAATTAACACTAGGCCTGGTCGATTAAGTGTGAAATTTGGGAGATAGACAAGGCACAGACATGGAGACAAAGACAGAAACAAAAGTAGAGACAGACAACAACGAGACACAGAGACATTTGGGAGAGAGACAAGGCACAGACATGGAGACACAAAGACAGACACACAAGCACAGAGAGGCAACAATGAGACAGAGAGAGAGGAAAAAGCAAACTTAAAACCTCTCCGTAGAGGCGTTTCAAACTCGATTTTGCTGCTTACCTGATTACCTGATGATGATTGCTTGCTTTGCAATCGAAACGTCGTACGTTATTATGTAATTTATTATTCTCTATTTCTACGTGACTTTACCGAAAGAACCAAATAATAATTCCTGCAGTCACGAAAGCATCAAAATCGAGTTTCATAGAACAAATGTTAAGTTAAATCAATAAAGTTATAATAACAAATAAAACATTTCCAATAAGAAAGTAATAGGACTTTTCAAATCGCAAAAAATCGCAGCCTTTGCGATTTGCTAATCGCATTGTTTCAAATTGCGATTTCGATTTGAAATCGATTCATCGTTCAGCCCTACTCTGTACCTGGCCGCACCTCGGTTCGATTCGCGGCCCTCGGCTGCCACCGTAAGTGGCGGTGACAGCCACGTGGGTTCCGAGCGGCACACGTGGGTGAAGTATGGGTGAAGTGTGGTGAAGTATGGGTGAAGTGTGGTGAAGTATGGGTGAAGTGTGGGTGAAGTATGGGTAAAGTATGGGTGAAGTGTGGGTGAAGAAGTGTGGGTGAAGTGTAGGTGA